CCCACGCCCCCCGCCGTCCCCGCGCCGTCCACAGCGATATTCTGTCCGCTCACAAACGCCGAATCATCGGACGCCAAAAACAGAGCCGCCGCCGCAATATCCGCCGCCTTCAAAACCCCCCCTTTCAGCACCGCTGCCTCCGAAACCAGCCTCTCCAACACCTCGGCCTTAATCACATGCGGTCCACAGCTCATCGGGGTCGCCACCCCAAACGGAGAAACACAGTTCACTCTCACCCCCTTTCCCCCCAGCTCCCCCGCCGCCGCCCTCACCAGCCCCAACACCCCGTGCTTCGCCGCTGTATACGCCACCGGAGCAAACCCCCCTTTCTCCGCCGCCACGCTCCCCGTACAAATAATCGACCCCTTAACTCCTCCGTCCACCATCGCCCTCCCCGCGTGCTTGATCGCCGCCGCCATGCCGCGAAGGTGAACCGCGAGCAGGTTATCCAAGTCCGACATATCGACGTCGAGGATGCCGGTGAAAGGGCCGAGAGTGCCCGCGTTGCTGAACATGATGTCGAGGTGTTTGTGGTGTTGGATGGTGTGGCGGACGGCGGCGGCGAGTTGGTGCTCTTCGCGGACGTCGCAGTGGACGTAGGTGCAGCGGCCGGGAGGGGAGATGGAGTTAGCGACGGAGAGGCCGAGGGCGTCTTGGGGGGCGGAGGGGGGAGCCGTGGGAGGCGAGGAGGCGGGCGGTGGCCTCGCCGATGCCGCTAGCTCCGCCTGTGATGATGGCCACTTTGCCTGCTAGGCGGGACATGTTGTGAAATTTTTTGGTGAAGAGGTGATTGGCAAAGTTGGGTTTTTTATAGGAGGGGGAAGGAGGGTTTTAAAGAGCCTCCGTACCGTTTTGCTAGCTTATCCCAAACGCACTTTGTTTGGAAGTCTGGTTTTGGATCTTGGGGTATTGTGGTGATTTAGCGGTCAATTTATATAATTTATGTATTCGAATATCTAATATCTAATATTTATAGTTATTTATATAAAATTTGCTTTTTCTTAAAAGTAATATAAAAATATATAAAATAAAGAATGTATTCAACTTATTAAACAAATGATTTGTTGACTTGAGGTCACGGTTGAGGTCGAAAAAATATTACCTGAGGAGTACTGATGCATCAGTACTCCAATGAGGGGGTGCCACGTAGACATCACGGTGAGACCATTGCCTACGTGACACCCCCTCATTGGAGGACTGGTGCCTCAGGACTCCCCAGGGAGGTCACAGTTGAGATCTTGGATGTATTGTAGTGATTTAGGAGGTCTTTATCTTGAAATGATTTGTTGTCTTGAGGTCACGGTTCAAGGTGGAAAAAAAAGAGCTCGCCAACTTTGAATCATATTTTTTATTTAAGAAAAAAAATATATATATATATATACGGGGCACAATTTCTCTATATTTACATTTGTCACCTATTTCTTTTTTTATATTTATAACCGCCCTCATGCATGAGAAAAAAATATATTTTTGATAAAACTTCAACACATTTTTAGGTATGATATGAATTTCAATATTTTTTTTTGTTGAACAACAAAAATTCAAACTTCGATGAAAGTCATTAAGATTACCGATTTCAACAAACTTATAGTCAAACTGACTGACTTGACGAAAAGAACCAAATGATACCAAAATTGGTTCAATTCGAGTCAAATCAATGTGTTAAACCACTTTTAAAAGCTTTCTGGGCATATTTGAAATATCAAAAGGATGTCGAATCTGGTGAGCTTGTGGTTAAATTGAGTGTCTCGACGAGATAAATCTAACGAGACCAAGATTGTTAAATTTTGACATCGATAATAGACTCAAATTTCCATCCAACACGCCAAATCGAGGGATGAGATATGAGCTGTCCAATCGAAATGTTTCATATTCATTCATTAATTGCAATCCAAATTCTATAAATAAAGCACCACACCGCTCATGAAAGGAGAGAGTTTTGAAGTTTGAAGAAAAGATTCAAGCTAGAAAAAGATGCTAAAATCCAGCATCAGTCCTCCAAATGTCGACAGCCGCCAACCATCGTTAATCACCATTTGTCAGTCATCGTCGATCATCATTAGCCACTGACCATTATTTGTGATAAGTTCATCCGCGCATCGACATTATAGCTCAAGAAATCGTGTAATCTTTTTTCTGCATGTGGGAAAAGAAGTTGTAATTGTAATCATAAATTTCTAATAAGATTCCTAGAATTAGATCAGATCCTATGGTTTTTTAAGTACAAACTCTAGTGTTTCTACTGATTGGTTGCTTTCTTTAATTGGAATGTGTGATGAATTCTCGTATAATGTTGTGACAATAATTTATTACTCTGTCGCCATAAATTTCTTGCACGCATTAATTTTAATTTTAAAAAGTATTAAAAATTAAATTTAATATAATATTAAATATTTGAGTGTTATAAACATAAAAATGAAAATTTAGATTTTTGATATGGATGTGACTATTGAAATGCCCCCAAAAGTAAAGGGATGTGGGGTGGGCTATTTATAAAAGAAATGCTATTAAATTATTTTTTGTTTGTTTAATTAATATTAGTACTTTGACGAAAGCTGTGGGCCGGCAAGAAAGTAGACTTGTGGAAATAAAAACCTCGAAATTTGTACTATTTTAATTATAAATTATCATCGCATCAGCATTGAATATTTCTAATGCTTATTATTAAAATGTTTTCGAAATGTATATTGAGGTCGGAATAGTTTGAAAAAGTTTTGATCAAATTTAAAATTTTTATATTTAGTTTAAATTACGAATAATTTGAAATCAATCAAGATTTATATCGAATATAACTCAAAACTAACTTAGTAATATTGAAATTCAACTAAAAAATGTTGA